GACAAACACTTTCCTCTGCGTCTAATATAAGTGACGTGTATGACAGATCAGGTCTCTTGTTTCCTTCAAACCATTTTTTACTTGCTGCCCAAAAGTCATTTGATATTTTCTTTGCTTTTGACTTTAACTTTCCTTGATATTTGTGGCATGACCTTGGCCCTAAAAAACAGTGACAAAACAAATTCACTATGAATTAAATCAGTTGTCTTTCCAAATAACAGACACATTTGTGCAATGCATTAAAGTGCAGTTCATCAGTACATCAAAGATTTTTTTAAATCAAGATTTTACTACAAAATACCTTGTAAGTAGTTTGTATCGACTTGAGTCTCCTCCTTGAAGGAAAAGCAGCTGATCCAATGATGCAGATCAAACTTGTTTTTCTCAGTGGAAGCATCGCTGTTTTTCTCAGGAGGAAGAAGCAGTTTCTCTAAAGTCCTCTTCCTTGTCCTGTCGATAATCTTGAGTAACTCATAGCAGGCTGCTTCTCCTTTTTTTGTGACTGAGATCAGTGTTGTTCTTATTTTTTCTTCATCAGTTTTCTCTGCCTTTATATTGCTGACCTCTTCATCACCAAGAACACCTTTCTGATTCAAGTTCTCCAAAATCACAGAGAGATCCTTTAATCCGCTTATAAGATGGCGTTTGGCACTCGTGACCCAGTCTAACGCAGACTGTGATGTGCAGGCCATGTTTCCTTATGTGTACACGCTGACCCAACTTCACTGACCTGCAGATCAAAATACTAATTTAAAAATGTTCATTTAAAAAGTTTAACTAGATTTGAACTGTTTATAGTTATTATATCATTGATGTATTAGGTTTTATATGCATGTAATTTAAACTGAATTAATATTTACAGCTTAACAATGACTTGCAATTCAATAAAATTAGCAATTCGATAATATTGAGAATAATTCTGTAACAATATACAGTGATAATGATATTGGTTGACAAGAAATAGTTATTACTCCCTGAAATAGAGCAGGGAGTAATAACGGAGTTCACCAGTAATGAGAGAAATACGAAAACAAATGTCAAAGATCACAAAATAATGCAGCTATACCACAGACAATGGCTGCAGTGACACTCTTCATTGTTTTTAACACTCATTTTCATTTCAGCTCTTTATATGTTATAACTCAGCGGTCGGCAACCTTTCTGACGATGAGTGCCATCTAAAATTTCCTCAGAAGTCAGTGTGCCATATGATTGCATTAGCAATAAATTTAATAACACTATATGAACAGTTACACAATATATAGAACAACTTTATAGAATTATATTTGTTCGCAGATGTTGGGAGCTATCAGCGAATAGTTATCAGCTATTTTGAAACAAAAAAAAGACACTTTTTATCCATAACAGCAAATAAACTGTACAACAGAAAATGCAAATGCTATTTATG